TGACCCCCTCCATCCACCAAATCTTCGGACTCCCCCGACCCCCCAGAAGCCCCCCTCGTCTCCACTCGAATCGCTCTTTTCACTCCTCTTCCTTCATTTTCTTTGACTGCTCTGAACCCCGCTGCCCCCACCATCCTCCCCTCCCGTTTCTGCCGATCCAGCTCTGTCTAATGGAACCGGTGATGCGTGATGTGAGCGGCCTACATACCACCAGCCTCCCCTAACCCCACTCTACCCCACCCCAGGATCACACACAACCAGGCGGGGTCTTTACACCGTTTAACCTTTGGTAATCTCCCACAAACATACACGTACCGTTTTCCTGGTGGACACACACACATTAACCCTGAAATGTACCTTAGTTCTCATCATTGTAGCCAGTGTCTGTGATGATTAAGATGACAACTTTTACTAGTTATTTTCCATTCTTTTTTAGATCAAGGTGTTTATTAGGCACAAATGAGCAAGTATGTCACACAGGAAATACAAGCTTCCCCTGATTAGTTCACTCTTCCCTGTATTGTTTTTTCTGTGTATTTCCTTGTGCTTTGTATCAAAAGCTTGTTGTCATTGTCTGTATAGAAGAACTGCATATCTACAGTGATTAACTGATATTTTACATACAAGTATTTGAATGTTAGGTTGAAGCTAAGGCCAATGAGTCAATGATGGTACAACAGGTTTAAAATGGATTAAAAACATTATATTATAAAGATGGTTTATTAATTGTACACATTCCAACTATAGATCTGAAAGTTATACTTGTCTTCAATAGTACACATAACTTTAAAACGTGTAACTTATAACAGTTTATTGTGTTTTGTTGTCCTTAGCTCTACCACTAACCACTGTTTGACCTAACGTCTCACAGACCTCTCTCTATATCAAAAATAAGAATAATTTCCCAATCAACACATTGTTTGCCCATTTGATGAATTTGCAAGCTCAGAAGACAGGTTTAATTCCCTGTCATAATCAAACTGTAATAAAACTCAGAAATCCAAATTGATTTTTGGGGATATTTGAGAGATTATTGCTGTTATCAGTATGATAAATACACATCATATATAGATCTGATTAATCAATTGCTTTTAACTAAAACACTTTATCAATTTCAAAGTGTTTTAAAAGTCCTATAGAAATGGTGGTATGTTTTCTGAGCTTTTAAAAGAGTATTTTTAGCGGAATGTAAACGGTATTTTGCGCAGCTTTCACTCAAAATGGTATTAAGCAAAATAGCAGTTTAGACAGGGAAACACTGAGTTTAATGACTATTTTGTCATATGGCCTTGTCAAAGTTTAATAAACGATACTCCTGCATTTTTGTGTGATTACTCATAGAGCCTTTGAATTTCTCAAACTCCCAGAATTAAGTATATGGATTTATGGTTGAAAGCCAAATCCATGGAGAATCAGCTGGCTTGAGTCCCAGAATCAAGGAGACTGTTTAATTATATTTGTTGGTTTTGTCCTCAGTTCGATGGAACCTGAATGATGAGCAAAGGCATTGGAGGCTTAACATTATGGAAAACTTGACCACATGTCTGGTTTTTATCATAGTGGTTGTCAACATCTTCATCGCAGCATTTGGAGTCCACCGGCCGAAGCAAAGCAACTAAAAAAGACACAAAGATACACACACAAGTATTCTCTACATTTTAGACTTTCACATACATTCTTTATGCTCAACCTCTTTCTCACTCACAAACAGGTATTTTCTCTCCTGCTTTTCTGTGCAGTTGTCTGCTATAGACATTTATGCAGTCAGCATGTTGTGGCCTCTCCTCCCCTGACCTGACCTGGACTGCACAATCCCCTACCTGACCTACAAACACACTGACCTCTCCAGGCTCTCTGAGAAATTTCCAACAGAAAACGACTCACAAAAAAATCCAACTACTGTTCATTTACCAGAAAAACATTGTCCTGCACTGAAAACAGCGAAAAAGAGAGAAACATCAGTAGTGACAAAGGGGTCTGGAGCTAAACAACACAACATTTGTTACAAGTGGACAAACAGGAAAGTGGCGACAACTGTGATCAGAGACCTGTGACCTCACACTGTCTGTCTCTTTGCTGAACGATAGTGACCCTGAGCGCTGGCCAGACACAAATGCACACACAGAAAAACACACGCATACACACACATGCTGACAGCAGAACATGCTTCCATTTTTAATCGCCAGTGATGACGTGGGTGGAAGATGTCATGGTTATTTTCCAGACAGCATGAACCAAGAGGTTTGATGGGTCTGCTGAGCAAATGTATTCGGTGAAGGGTGTGCCTCATCTGACTCAAAGCACGTACAATGCACCTCCACAGCTTTAACCTTACTAATACATCTGCCCCCGACCACAGGCGTCATGCCTAACATTCAATTATAACAATGTTTGGTTGTGCCATGACTCTCTGTGCTCTGAGCAAAGATGGAGTGTGTCTGTGGTTCTCTGGACCAGCAGCAGCTGGTGAGTCAGAGTCAACACAGCACAGACCCCAGCAGAACTGCTTGTTAAAGTGGAAGCCTTAATTAGACTGTTTCAGAAATGTCACTGAAACCCCAATTAGAGTCGGAGCAAATGCTCATTTCATACACTTGAGTGGTTTAACACAAGAACATAAAAGCAGCTTGGGCCTGTTTCATGTAATCAATTGCTCAACACCTGAGGAATATTCATGTTCCAATCTATAATTTCTTCAACGTTACAGTGACAAAGCACCTTTTCAGATGACAAACCAACGTCATAATCTCATCCTTTTCCGCCTCCACAACTATCATTGGTAACCGTGGAAACAGCCAGACGAGACAAGAGCCAGATTGATGACACACACAGCTCCACTCAGGGCAGATCTGTGGACTGATATATATACATTATGTATGTCTATGGCTCCTATACTCTGCTTGCTCCATCTCAGTCCTGGAGTTGAACATGACCGGCCCTGTGGGGGACCGACATCAGAGGATGCTTGTGATCATGGAGGTCGTGCGCTGCAGGACTAATAATAGCTCCCTCCCCTCGTGGGAATGTGGATACCAGTAATCGAACTGAACAATCACCCTGGTTATACTTCCAACCCCCTGCAACACCTCCCTCCCCTTTCCACGACTCCCATCTCTCATCTGTTGCTCTCCATTTTCAGACAAGAGAGGGGCGGTAAAGTGCTGCTCAGTGTTGCAAATCTCCCGATATCAGGCACCTGAACTCTCCTCCACAGCTGTACTGTATCATCTCCAATGTGGCCTTTTCTCTACTGATTCATAATCCTAGGAGATACTTGAAAAAGGGCTTAAAGAGAGTACACAATGAATCCGCCCTGCACACAGGTCCTTTATTAACAATTGACAGTGTTTAATGTAGCATTTAATTAAAGTTGACTCTAGTCATTCAATCAATTTAATTGTCATTATTAATTAATGAAGGCTGTCTGTTGCTCCAGTTTGTCATTGTTATAGCACACCAGAACATTTTCCATCATCCTCATGTTTCCTTCTTATGGTGCACTGAATGAGCGAGCGGCGCCCTCTAGTGTCTCTACGCATCCTGTTCATACAGTGAACGTCAGATTCATATTTTGTTGCTTTCTACATTTCTTATTGTTGTAATGCTCTGGGAAGACTGTGATTGCCTTACATTTATTCACTCATTATCTACATGTAATTTTCAGTTTTGTCATTGAGGGATGCAAGTAAATAGTACTAAAAGAAACAGATGTAATAGTTGTTCTAAAAACTATTTTTTTATGTCATGTTCATATTGTCAGACATAACCTAGAGAGAACACGGCACTGCTCATTACTGTGATTTTTAATTGAATGTTAATTCATTGTATACATTTCTGAGTCTTTTGTTGTCACTCTTTTGACATACTACATAAAAACAAAAGATACCACTCCAGTTGAGGTCAGCATTTGCTTTAATTGAGCAAATTATGAAAATGATTACAGTGCACTTTAGTCATTAGATTTCCAACAGCACCATCACAGTATTAATAAAGGCACTGAAGTGTGTACGTGGTTGGACATATCTATGTTGTGTTTGAGAAACTGTGGTACACCAGGGGGGTATACTACGAAGCAGGATTTTCGCTTAGCCGGCTAAATTCAGGGAAAACTCCGGCTTTCCGGTCCTACGAAGCTGGTTCTCTTTTTAGCAGGCTAGATCTCCATGGTAACTTATGCTAAGCGGCTAACCTGGTCGGGACCAGGTTAGGTTGCAGGCTAAGAGCTAAACTCAGTGAAAGCACTGCCTGCTGACCAATCAGAGCTCAGTGTGCGGAGTTTAAAGCGATCAAGTCATATTACAGGAGAAAGGAAATACAGAAAAGCTGCCGTCGCAGGAAAGACGGCCGGCAAAAATCACCGACTGTGTGAACGTGAACATTAATAGAATATCACCTCCCATCTTCAGAGCAATCTGACTATTATAACATTAGCGTTAAGAAAGCTTACTTCAATATCTGCCACAACATAGGCCTAAGTAACCGGATCAGAGTAACATTAAGTACAGTCCGCGGCATATCACTTCATAATGTATCATATGTTCTTATCTGAGTCAGCTGAGCCGTATCTGGCCGTGCAACACTCACAGTGTCACATACTGTATGCAGAAGTATTATTTTAAGCAACACATTAAGTTGACGAAACACTCGAGACAAATGTAATTAAAGTCAGATCGTGTTTTAGACGGGGCAGTGATATCATAAACCTGTTAATGTACGCATTCAAACACTTTTTCTTTTGCCAGCTGTATTCACCTTGCAGGTGCAGCTATGTGGCTTTTATCCTGGATAAAGTGTTTAAGACATGGATGTTTAAAGTTTAACTTCTTCATATTTGACTAGTATTAAAGTTCACTTTTCATTCAGGAAGTATGACGCTGCGCTGTCAGTGCGCTTCTCCATGTTTGTGATTGGTCGAATGCTCCAAATACCACCCCTTTCATGTGAACGCGCACCTAACTAGATAGGACACGGCTGGCTTGAGCGATCCACTTGATAACCAGCGTCGTAGTACAGTTTAGCGAGAGCGGGTATGTTTTGGATTAGGCCAACCGGCTAACTCAAACATATCCAGGTTAGGTTGAACCAACTTCGTAGTATAGGCCCCTGAGCTCTGTCAAATTAAACAATCAACACAGGCGTTTTCATTTAGGTTGCCTAATTAGTCCCCTTCTCAGGTCTGTGTGTGTCAACAAGCTGTGTTTGATTGACATACCGTATTTCCTGTTGGTTTAGGTGTACCTGTTCGAGAGGGACAGCTTAACCCTCTGTCATTCGTGTTGACGCATATTTTGTAGACATTATGTGATTCCCTGCATAGCTCCACCCAACTTCTACCTGAGCAGTCTAATCTGTCTGTGTCTGTGAGTATTTGAAAACAGCTGTGTGGAGGTGCAATTTCTCAGTTATTATTCCGCTTCATTTTAGCTGAAAATGTGATTGGAATTATTATTGTTTTTTACGCACAATAAATTCAGATACGATTATTTCCAAAAATCCATGTAAAGCAACGTCAGCTGTGGGAATTTCAAGACAGAATGACACACATAATGTCGGCTCAAGTCAATTAGTGCTTACAAATGCGTGTAATTTTTAGCTCTCAAAGTGTGTATGAGTTTGGCACAGCAAAGTGGCAAATTTCACAGCTTGTTCTTCTCACAGCGCCTCAAGCAATTCAGCATCTAACGGTCTTCTTTTTTTCGCCTGCCAACCTCAGAATATCTTTAGCGCCTTTACTAAATCTTGCTGCTGAGCAGTGAAGAAAAGGGCTGGTGCTTCTCAGCGTCTCACCCTCTGAAGGCAGAAAGAGGGAGAACATAGAGTATTAAGAAATACATAGAGAGAGTGGTTTAGAAGGAAACACAAAGAGAGGAGAACATTGATATTCAAAGGTAATTTAACATTTCCAGGGAAGTCTGAACCCTCTGCATGACTCACCTCCGTAATAGTAGAGCATTGCAATTCCAACTGCAAAACTGAAACAGCTCAGGAAGAACATTGGTCCTGCAAAAGGAAAGAAAAGGGATAAAGTTCCCATCTGTGACATTGACACCAACAACACTAGAATATCTGATCAGCTGGTGGGCATTCAAAATGTGTGTAGTTTGTTGGTGTCTTCTAAATTATTGGTATGAAGTAAAACAAATAATAAAGACAAACTACATGGCAATAATCCAAAGCTGCCCTGTGCACAATTTTCTTGTTCACAGTCATCATCAATCATTTCTTTGTATGAATTCCGATTGGGAGTCATTCCTGATGACCTGTTTTCTCAGCTGACACACCTTTGACCCAGTGGAAGCGCCCTGACTGTTCAAAGGAATGCCGCACAGAGGAAGCTGTTTTTGACCCACAAAGCCAGCGCCGTGAATGTAATGGGATGATGAATGGGGCAGCAGCGTGGAGCAGCAGGGCCCACATTGTGATGCCAGGGGTTAAAAGGTTCAGCAGACAACTATGTTTGTAGAAGAACAAAGCTAAGTTGGGCTTTAGGGGTTTATCTGACAATCAGTGAGGGGCACAGAGGCACGGACAGTAAGACCACCATTTAAAACAAAACACACATCCTACTCATACAGCAAAATAAAACTACTACAACTGCAGATTCAAAGTTGTATTTCAGCCCATTAACCACAAATTATCTTTTTTTTCTCGTCATAGGTCAAAGGTTCGAGAATGATATAATACTTTCTAGGCAGCAACCGGTGTCTGTTTATGCCAGTATACAGTCAATTTATTTTGCACAATGTTATCCTTATATTCAGTTATGGTCTCTATCTATTTTGCAATGTTGCCCAAGACGTTTGTGATTAATAGCAGATGACTGTATTTATAATTCAACCTCAAATATATATAAATAACAGAAAGTGTATTTATTGATCTAGTCTACAGTAGGCTACTCAGAAGTTGTGTGAGCTGTTGATTAGATGTACCTCTATCATTCAGCACATGTCGCTCTTGGTGGATCGCCATGGTGTTAGACCATTTTGCATCAGACGTTTCTAGAACGTAAAAGAGTGAAAAATAAGGTCAACCCAACACTTTTAATATGAGACTATGTTTAGTCACATCCACTACTTGCACTGCAGTCCAGGCAACACACTGGCTTCCTTCTTTTCCTTGGATAGGATAAGCTACATTAGGCCAGACAGGCAATTACACAGCAGGGGATCCACCGATATGGGCCACCAGGGAAGTTGCAAGTGAGATCCGCCAAACCATTGCACTTCAAATGTATTGGATAACAACATGACTTTGAAAAGAAGAAGTGTAACTAACTTTATGAACAGGAATTTACAAGGGCATGAACAGATTTTTTCTTACTTCCATTTTCAGGACCAATTTTTTTTTTTAAAGTAAAGCAAGGTGATTTCATTAAAATAAGGCTGTAACAATATCAGATTATAGCTAAATGGTTATTATGAAAATAATTCTCAATAATAATATCGCAATTTAGAACATTTTTTAAATATACCAGCATAAATGCTAGCAGTCAAATTAATCTTTGACTTTTTTTATTGTTTATTTTGTCTATTTGTTGGCTTTTAATTACACTCATTTGTGTGTGAGACATTGAGTAAGGAGAATGCAAAGAAACTTAAATATAATTGATCAAATATAGGTAAAAAGCGTTGGGTTGTTAACACAATATTTTCCATCTGTATTATAAACATCATGATTTATTTTTACAAATCAGGTATATTATGACACCCCTAACATGACCACTGCAGTAATTCTACTGCACAATGAATTACCTTTCCATTACACTATTCAATACATCTCGGTGAGAAACTTCATCTTAAAAATACATTAAGATCTGTCTTTGTTTGTACCTTTCTGTATGACTCTGGTGGGCAGGCTGGAGTAGACGTCCTCAGCGTGGATGTGAAGTCCTCTGTAGAATTCATGACATGCCTCCTCACCCTTCCTGTGCAGGTGCTTCAACAACTCGGCTAACCGCACCTTGGTGGGAACGCTCAGCTTCCTGAACTGCAGGGGGGACACATAGTGAAATAAATAACTGTTCACAACTGTATACACACTGTGCCAGAGACCAGGTGCAAAGACATGATCACTTTTAAAACAGGATGTTTCATGATGGAATAGTGTCAAATGTTAACTGTAGTGACCCCGTGGGCTTCCTTGTCACTGAGTATCTGGGGGTAGATCCTGTTTAGCTGCAGCACCAATCTGTCCATCAGTTCAGTGTCCATCCTCTGATCCGAGCACAGGAAGTGGGCGTCCCTCTGGAGCTGCTCATGGTAATCGTCAATGTCTAGTCAAGGACGATAGAAAGCACAACATTAAAGACGAACTTAAATGCATACTACATTCAAACTTTTTTAATTCATATACATTAAGACATTGGTGATCTAAAAGCTGCATGTGCCATTGTGTGGAGTTCACATCAGGCCATAAACGTATGACCCTGTTCAATTAGAGTATGCTACAAAGCTCTAATTTTAGGCCTGCAGATTTTATGTCTAGTCTGACAGTAAGTAGTTTCTTGGTAAGCTGGTCTTGGCACAAGTCCTGCTCTGAAAATAAATAATTAAGAGGTTTATTCTCCAGTTTAAAGGTTTAAAATTGTCCATTTGACAACACTTAATAACAAATTGACTCAAAACGGTGTGCTTAAATAAAATAGGCTCTTACATTTGTTTTAACAGGAAGCCCGGGAGGTCTGCAGTGAATAAAAGTGTGTTGAAGTCCATGTCCTTTATTGACTGCTGGTTAAACTTGATGATCATTTGAGTATGTATTTTGTAAACGTTTTTTGAAGATACAGACTGATTTCAAAACCAATCTCACATTTTCCTACGAACTCACTGTTGATGTCGATCTCATCTCACTTTGATGCTTTCAACACTGAGGAATCAAGAAGGGTATCACTGACTGAAGTTAATGTTCAATATAAAAGAAGAAGTCTTTTAGTTTACACGTTCCAACGGTCTATCTTTGCCTTGTGAATGTGGTGACATCCAGCATTATAATTTCTGAAAAACATACAATTTATAAATTATATTTGTATTCAATAAAACTGGCAACACCTATAAAACAGGTGAAAATATCCTACTAGAAATAAATAAACAACATTTTTTGTTAAAGTGAATAAAAATCACATGATCTAAATGTCATATTTAAGGGCAGTTATTTTGAATACTCTTAAATTAAACATCAGGATTAGATATGATTGACAGTAAAGCATGCATATGTTTTCTAAATGGCTGCATTACTATTGAATTGCATCGTTTACATATAACTGCTTGTTTTGTTTTTAGGCTGGATATCTGAGCATAAATATGATCCAAACACTTCGTCACATTAAGCCAAAAATGAATGCTTTTGATAGCACATTGCTATAGCACCAACAACATTTACAAACTGTAGATTATTTATATGCAACAAGTGGCGCACCCACAGCACAGCAGGCGGCCAGTGATCCTCTGTATCCTTGAAGTGTGGGTGCAATGATTCCTGAAAAATATCCCAAAACATTTTACCCATGTTTCACAAACCTGTCATACTGAAAAACAGACTGGGGGACGTGCTTCCGAGCCTCCCGGTAAAACTTCCTGGTGTCCCCGGTGTGACGGTCTCTTTGCTCCGTTACATCAGCAAGCGGCGCCGCCTGCCGGGGCCACATGACCTCCGAGCCGCGTGGTGAGTATCCTGTGCTGAGCTGACAGGCAGATTACCGGAGCTAAACCTTCTCTTACTACTCACCCTGAACCGCAGAGAGGTGTCAGACAGTTATCCCTTTCATGTATTCCCTATTTTCCTTTATTCTAGTTTCAATTAGACCTGTTAATGACATATAATAAAAAAGAGAATTATTATTAATCATAATAAGAACATTAGGCTTAATAATACTCACTGTTAGTATTATTTATATTGTTATTAGTATTATTAATATAATCCCTATTCTTATTATTATTAGTATTATTATTACTATCCCTATTATTATTATTCATTTTTTTGTGACTAACCCTATTATTATTCCTATTATTTTGATTTTACATTCTTACATTTTTGTATTATTATTATTATGTCACTTACAATTCCTGTGTGTTCCTGTGCTACATCATTACTCAGACAAAATCACTGCTGCCACCTTATCACGATAGCGTGTAAACATTTACATTTGTCCCTCAGAGGGAAAGGTACACCATTGTATGATGTAATACAATTCACTTGTTATCAGTAGAAGTATTTCATTTATTTACATTCTTTAAAAAATAACACAGTATTATTTACATTGTGGCCAGTGCTCCCCAGCTGATCTCCACACCCACCAAAGTGAGCCTTGACATGAGTTCTCAGCTGCCTGTAATGTTTTGTGAACCCCTTTTCCATAGAACTCCTTAGTGGTGAACTTTAACCAAAACATAACAATATGACTTGTTTCTGAAAAGCTCTGTTAAGTGCATGAAAGTCCCTTGACATTTAAGGCGAGACACGGCAGGCAAAAACATCGTTTTTCAAGTACTGGTCAATTTTGAGATTTTGTGCTATTTTGATTCCATAACATGTTTTCTTTCAGGCTTTTGGAAGGAAAACGTACAAAATACACATTTAAGTGTTTATTTTACTATAGTTTGTCTATTTGCGTCTGTAGATTTCTCCTAAATTCACCAAAAGTTAGCATTCTAACGTAACATAAAGTACCGCGACCGCTGTGTGCACCATGTCAACAGAGGTATCGCTGGAAAGCTGTGTCTCTCCTGCACAATCTCATCGGATCCAAATATGGTCATTTCCTTTGTATCAGCAACCAATCGTGAAAGCACAAAGGGGTCTTAAACCAAGAAACGAAATCTCATTGGCTGGTGTCAATTTCTGACAACGTGATTCGTTCAGATGCGTCACGTGGTGTGCTAAAACACTTCCTGGTTAGCTTTCAGCTAGAAATTGAAATCTCAAAATGCCAAAAGAACGGCGAAAAAAACGTTCACAGAGAAGACGACAACAATTGTCACTTGCACGAAGCAAGGTTATATATAAAAAAATGACCCTGAACATGAAATACCTTCACGGAGTGCGTCGATGCGCAAGCTGTCATTCAAAGAACAGGAGGGTTTAGCTAGCGCCTCACTGCAATCTTTAAAGGTCGTTTTCTCAAAATGAGTTTTTTCTCCTACTCTGAGTTCGAAATTTCAACTTCAGTAGTACGTAGAGATACCAAACCTTCCAGTTATATTCCTATCAATATTATGAAGGCTTTTACAGAAGGGTTTGTTCATATATAATTCATAGCCTGAATTATACAACATTGTATACCTAAAAACATGGCGAAAATGGATATTTTAGGGCTGTTGACAGTATTTTCTGATTTATGGAATGATAAAAAGAGATATCCAATATCCCTTCTGTAAAAGCCTTAGATACTAATATGACTACAAAATGAAACTTTTGAATCTGGCTATATCCAAAGTTCAGATTTCGATTCCTGAAATGTGTTAAAATATGTGCATATTTAATGAGATAATGGATAATTTGCATATTTAAACATGCTATTTCAGAAAACTTGTAATACAAAAGACAATTGCCTTATTGTAAGTAATTAACTGGAGAAATTTCTAGCTGATACCTTTAAGTTAAAAAAATTACCCTATTCACCTGGGGTGTCTCGCCTTAAATTATAGGGCAAGTGTCAAGGCCAGTGTCCTGAAAGTGCCAGTGTCAGGCCAGTGTCAGGCCAGTGTCCTGAAAGTGCAATGGCTATTCTTTTCAGACAGAGGGCACTGTGCCATTACATTTTTTCAAAAGGCACATAAATCTGTCAGATCAGTATGCAAATAGAGCCTTCATACAGTGCAGAGCTGCAGACATTATATTTTTAACAAGATCAGAAATGTTCAGTTATTATTTCCTATAGTCCTCATTGTACAGACCAATTCATTTGGCCGGTAACCAAGTCTTTGACTGATGATGGCATCTCACACTGATATAATCCGAATGGAAAATTCTTTGGCAGGGTTTATATTCCTTGTGTTGGATTCATTGGTGGTAGATGGGCTCACTCCTGACAAACTGCTCTCCCGTCCTCCATACTGCCTTACGAAACCAGGCCTCACTGCTGAGATCTGCAGGCCTGGATTCATGGTTTGGCTGGAGGATTGAGGAGGATCGCTGAATTCAGGAAGACCAGACATCTTTGCATATTTTAGGTTTGGGTGTAAGAGAGGCTGGTAGTAGTCATAACCCGGGAGAGTAGAAAGTGGAGGAGCGGGGCCATATTCACGGTCAAGACCATAGGAGTACTGTTGATGACATCTGGAAGAAAAGACAATAAGTTGTGGTCTACACACATATTGACATTTATTTTTATTTTTGTTTGTTTCAGCAAAAGTCAGCCTAAATTTCACCTGCAGGCTTGCATGTTGTCGCACATGGCTGGGTTTTCATGGTCCCAAAGTGAAAGCACCTTCTCCGGGGTGTTGTTGTTGTTGTTGTTGTTGTTCCTGCCTTTATGGCTGTAGCGAGACCTGTTGTCTTCCTGATGTTGGGGCTGCTCCTCCCACTTCCACGTATCTTGCTCCCTGTTTAAGAAATATATTTAAACATGCATATCAGTACTTCAGTTCGTGAATGCATTACAGAAAACTCACTGATAACTAATTTTGCTGAAAATACTTCCACATCAGTAATGCCAGCAAATACTAGTGTGGATTTGGAGCTGTCTTTTTGTGAGTGAGTTTCATTTTTGTCTCATGCAAGAGGATGCCCATGCAGGTAAGCGGATGATACGGTACACAGATCGGCTCATTCTTTCACACTGTTGCCCAGATCTTTATGTAGTGGTAACACACTATGTGCCAGCATAAGCAAAGAAGACAACAAGCCAGTGAACATGTATGTAAACAGTGCTGGCTTTAAAAAATATATAGGAAAGGAAATGCTTTAAACACATTAGAGCTCCAGTGAATAACAGTGACTTTAAACTGCAAATTATTGTTATGGTATCTCACCTCTCTTGCTTTTTCCTTTTGTCTTCTCTCATGCAGTCGACCCAACAGCAGGTAATGAAGGCCATGGACATGAAGAGGATTATGGCCGCGCTGACAATGGATGCCAGAACAGCCACACGGAAACCAAAGTCCTCATATGACAGAGCTGGGGTGTGAGAGAAGAAGAAGAAGAAGAATGATGACTGATTAATCGACTTTATTTCAATGCCATGCACTTAAAGTTCAATTGATCATTTTGCAAAATCTACTGTATGTACAAGTCTACCGCTGCACATAAACTAATCCCACAAGTATTTCATTATTTTTGACCAGAGGAGATTGGCAGATTTTCTACTTTCCAACAAGGAAAGGACAATAAGATCTAAATCCCATTTTTCATTTCTTTCCGTTTCCCACCAACTTCTTTTCTCCCATGATGATTTATCCTGAAAGAAAATTAAGATCCTGCTCTCCCCTTTTCCACTTGCTCATCAAAACAGCGGCCAACTGTGCACCTGCCTCTCTATCTCCATTACCATTAATATTCTCCTTTAATGAGCTTTATCCCCAAGCAAGACATACTTTTCTCTCAAATGTGTCCTCACATCATTTAGAAGAATTCATTATGGCAAGCCAAATATCAAGTATCTTTATGTATCATAGCTCACAGCCACAATGTCTATCACATGATGGTTAATATATAGTATATATCCCATTTCCTCACAATAATGAGCAGACAGACAGTTCAGGGGAGGTTTTGCAGCCACTGCAATTCTCTCAGTAAAAGTATTTTGAAGATTAGATTACATATCACTTGTTAAACGCTTTTAGCCAAGGATGTATTCTACACACACACTTTTTAGTTATAAAGTGCATAATGAAGAGGCAATATTTCTAAATTAACTGTCGGATCCAGGTCTTAGTTACTCACGTTTACAGTAGGTCTCGCCGACCCAGTGGGGGCTGTTGGTGTCCATGACGCACTTCAGCTCACTTCCAACAAGTTTGTGTTTGGCTGGGCACTGCAGGGAGATGACTGTCCCCACCGTGGTGCCATTGCCCTGGATGATCCTCTGGGTGCCTAGGACTGGCAGGGTCATGGGTGCACACTGAGCCTGACCTAAAAGAAAATAGTTCTAAGTTCGTTAATCATTAAAAATTCAGCTAACGTTTGAATACATGCATAATTCATGTCTCTTCAAAAGAAATGTGTTTTCTCAGAGATGAACCGAGGACTCTGAATGCAAAAGAAGCAACTGTTCAGGGTGAACAACAAAGAATAATGGAGCACTGCAGATGGGATGTAATGTTGGATGGGACAATCATTCCACAGCTATCAGCACTGAACCCCTGAAGGGCTGCACAACGATGTGTGACAAAACACTGTCCGCCCCCTTGTGACCGCCTGGTGCTGTGCTGCATCGGATTCTAACCGTATCGAAACAGGAAATGTGATAAATCATTAAACAAAATGCCTGCAAGGCTGGTGGAAACATAAGGGCCATCTGCAGCCATGCTAAACAACTGGTTATCATACAGCACAGTGCTCAGCATATTGGCTACAGGAGGGGAGGTCTCTCACTGTGTTA